GCTGGTCAGTTGTGCGTGTCCCGGCTGGCCTCGCGCCAGGCTGCCTGACACCGCCTCCCTCCCGGCCTGCCTTCCGCTCTGCCGGTCAGTACCGGCCCAGTCTGCTGCCAAGGAGGCTGGACTCTCCTTCAGGAAGGGGCAGTTGTCGCCTGGGCCTGGGAGTGGGGGGGAGGGCAGCCTCCGAGGGGCCTGTTGCCGTGGCAACCCAGGCCTCTATGCGGGAACTGTGGGGAGACCAGCCCTGGGCAAGTGACAGATGGAGGGCGAGGAGGCAGAGTTACCCCCAGCTGTGCCCATCCCCGAAGCCTGGCACCTGTCTGCCTGGATGAGGGGTGAGGCTGAGGTGACCCCTCGCCCGGTGCTGAGTCACGGGCATCCCCCAGGGTCATGGTCTCAGCCCTCTCAGCCCTGCCCCCTCCTGGTGTCTCTGAGAAGTGCGTGACTCATGTGCATCCTCCGTCATCCCCGGCCCAGTGAGTTCAGGGAGGAGGGAGGAGCCCAGCTGGGGCAGGGGGGGTGTCCCCCCACCAAACACACCAGCCCCTCCCCCGGCTCCGCACTGGCTGCCCGCCCAGCCCGGCCGCAGGAGAGGGGCCGGGAGCCTCCCACACGCGCCGGCTCACTCGGCAGCCTGCGGGGACCAGGACCGGCAGGTTAAGCCTCCGGGGTGGACCCTGAAAGGTGGTCCAGCCCTCTGCCCCCACGCCGGACCCTCCACCTGGCACCAGGTACCCGACCCCGGGCTCGACAGCAGGTGGGAGGAGGGATGGGGTCTGTGTATGTGTGTGTGGCGGCTGAACAGAGCGTAGAGTGGGGGGTCTTGGTATCTCTGTGGGGTCCAGCCCAGATGAGCATGGCTGTGGAGGGGTCTCTAGAGTTGGGGTGCATGGACAGGGAGATGCCTGGGCGGGGCGCTGGGCCCAAGAGGACCAGAACCTCTCAGAGCCACTAGTCATTTGGAAGCTGGGGAAACTGAGGCTGACAGCGGCACAGTCACTGGTCCCAGCGAGCTGGGGTCTGCTCTCTGGGCTGCGAGGTCACTGCTCCCGCTGGACAGCTGGGAGGACCAAGGCTCTGACGGGGCAGGTGGCTTGCCCGTGTCACATAGCAAGTCCAGGGATGCAAAGCCCGGGCCAGCTCAGGGAAGAGAGGGCACTCTGGGCTGGGCATGACACCTCTGAGGGCGGCTCCCTGCAGCTGTCCCGGGGGCGGGGTCCTGCTCTTCGTCACCAGTCCCTCTTTGGGAGGAGGTGGTCCTGGCAGTGGGGTCTGAACACGGGGGCGGAGACGGGAAGCGCAGGCTGGGGCCGAGGGTTCCCTGCCGCCAACCACCAGACCTCAGGGCTCCCGCCTGCTTGGGACTGATAGGACCTTCCCGCCCTCTTGCACCCGGGGGTGGGAGCCCAGTGGTTCTTATCCGCCCACCACCGGCCTCCTTTGTGTGTGCAGAGTTGGGGTCTCCAGGGCCCCGGGAGGGAACCGGTGCCCCTTTCACTGAGGGGGGTGGGGGACGAGTCCAGGCAGGGCTCATCTGTAGCCGCTGTGGCCTGGGACCTGTGGGGCGGGTGGGAGTAGCCTGTGTGGCTCCTTCAGAGGGCCAAAGAAGTTAGCTATATTATATAAGCATTTGTTGAGTGCCTACTGTGTGCTCCATGCTGTCCTGGGGACATGGCAGCGAATGAGGGAACTCGAGAGTGGCCCAGACCCAGAGGCAAGGCCCCTGCCCCGCCCGAGGGTACCCTGGGGCAGAGGCTCGGACCCTTGGGGGCAGAGACTGGGTGAGAAGGAGCATATCTGGCCAGCAGGAGCCACAGGCTGCCAAGTTGGTTCCCCAGAGCCCAGGCCAGGGTCCCGGGGGATCTTCTCTGCCAATGTGCAGGGGTGGGACACCCCACTTTGCTGCAGGGCCCCCAGGGACCCGAGCTACAGACCCACCTCAGCCCTAGCATCACTGCAGCAACCTTGCCTTGCCTCTCCTCTGGGCCTCAGTTGTCCCAGCTGCTAAATGGGTGTGGGGGTGATCTCGGCTGCCCTGCCTGGGGGCTTGGCTCTGAGAGTGCCAGGTGAGGGAGAGCACGGGCCCCAAGTGTGGCCATGAGGGAGGGGCCATGCCCTGGCCTGGGCCACTGGGCAGGGCAGTCAGCCTGGCGTGACACCCCCTCTGTCAGGGACACAAACAAACAGGACAGTTAGGAGGTGAGATAAGCAGGTTAACAGAGGACGCAGGAAGGGGACGAGGACCAGGGAATCTGCAGAAGGCAGGACGCTGGGAGGACGGGAGGGAGAAGGCGTTGACGTGCGTGTCCGAGCACCGGGGAGAGCTGGGGGGATTCCTAGCAGAGGAAGCTGCGTGGGAAAAGGTTTGGGAAATGATGCGGGGGGGGCGCTGGGGACCGGGCATGGGTCACGCCATGGCACTGGGTGGACCATGCTGGTGGGTCCCAGGCTGCTCTGCAGGGGCAGGGAGGTGGGCGCACTCGGCAGGGTGCCGCTGCCCGCAGCCAGGCCAGGTGGGTGCCATGTGGGGCTGGGGGCCCAGGCTGAGACCCTCGCAGGACGGGAAGGGTGGGCTGGGTTTGCGATGTGGGGTTGGCCGGGCTGTCCCAGTCCCTGTCTGCTCGGTTAGGGCTCATGCTTGGGGGCAGCTTCGTGGCTGAGGGAGAAGAGGGGAAGGTGGCGGGGCTGTGGCAGGGTTGCAGGGGAGTGGGGGGGTGGGCATGGGCTTCCCAGCAGGACCCGGCACAACAAAGGCAGCAGCAGGCAGTGCGCAGGACAGCCGTGAAGGGCCACCACGGACCACGTTCCAGCCGAACTGGGCCCCAGGTCCCTTCATCCCGGGCAAAAGCTGTGTATAGGTGGGGGGCGGGGGTGCTGTGCCGGCCTCAGGGATGCAGGACGGGCTTGGATGTGGCAGGGCCCCGAGGGAGGCCACGGAGGAGGCAGTAGGGATGTCGGTGGAGGAGGGGAGAATGGGCAAAACTTGGCAGCACAACCCCAAACCCCAGTGCAGCCTCCTCCTCCTGGACCGGAGCCTGAGCAGGGCCCGGCACCCCCGTCCCCATCCTCGTGGAGGCCCCGTGGACCCCGCCTTCTGACTCACAGCAGATGGGGGCATCATGTGAGCGAACTCGGCAGCCGGGGGTGACCAGACTCAGGGGACCGGGCAGATGGCAAATGGGGGGTGGGGCAGGCTGGCACAAAGGGGCCTCTCAGCCGGGCGGGGCGGGGCCCTGGCACTAGCCTCCTGCTGCTTTCCCCTGGGACCTCGCCCCTCCTCCCGCCTCTGGTCTTCACGCCGCATCTGTGGCTCCTTGAGGCCCCTGGGGAGCCCTGCAGATTCTGGGCTCAGGCTGGGAAGCTGGGTAGGGGGCCAAGGCTTGGGCAGGAGGCTGGGACACACGGTTTCCGACCACTGCCAGTGCCGGCCTGCCCTGGCAGGAGTGGGCTAAGACACTTCCCTGGTCCCTGGTGGTTTGGAGCCTGGACTAGAACAACGCTGGACCTTCCCCGACTTCAGACTCTGTCAGGCCCTGGGCTCCGTGCTTCGCGAGCTGTGCCCACTTTAGAGATGAGGACACTGAGGCCTAGGAGGCTTACCCAGCGAGTAACTCACGTCTTTGGGGCTCCGGAGTCTGGGCTCTCGTCTCTGGGAGGGGAGGGCTCCTGGGCTGGCAGAGACCCATGCTGGGAGCCTTTGTCTCAAACCCCTCCCCTGCCACTGCCAAACCCACGCCCCTTTAGGGTGGTGGGGCCCATAGAGGTAGCAGGGCTGGCTTTCCCAGGGAGAATCTTGGCTCTGTTTCTCTCTGATCGTGTGAACGTGCACCTGTGCCTCAGTTTCCTCATCTGTAAACTGTGGATAATCACATCTGGCTCGGGGGCTTCGTGGGCACTAAGAGAGTGAAGACAGGGCGACACCTGGCAGATGTAAATGTTCAGCCTTATCGGGCAGAAGGGTGTACGGAGGCCCAGAGATAACCTGCGAGAACTCGCGAGCACTTCTTCCTGTCCCCCCTGTCGCCAGGAGAGCTGGGGCCACCTGGAGAGCTGGGGCCACCCGGACGCCAGCGGGACTCACTCGGCCCTCTTCAGCCCGGCTCATGCTTCGGCGGGGAAGCCCGTGCGGCGGACGCAGCCTCCCGGGCTGGCGCCGGCTCGGGCGGTTTATGGTGCGCTTGGCAGTTTCCAGGCAGAGATGAAAGCGCAGCCCTGGAGGAGCTGGCAGCGCTTCCGGGCACCGGTGGCCAGGCCTGTCTGCATTAGTGGGAGGTGGCCTGGGGCCGTGGGGCTTGCCGTCCGGGAGTCAGCCCAGCTCTGGTCCCTTGAAACATTGCTGGTTCTACGGCTAATGGCTCCAGCCTGGCTCTCCGGGCTCAGGGCCACTTGAACCGACTCGAAAACAAGCGAGAGTGAGGTAGAAGGCTGCCTCTGCCACCTGCAGACCCTCGTGTCCCCAGGCCTCTGTCCTCCTCTTCTCAGTAGCCCTGGCCTGAATGCTCAAGGCGCGTGGGGCAGAGAGGACTTTTGAGATGCGCTTTGGAGACTTGCGTCCCCACTGCCAAAGGTCACGGCGACTCTAGACCTTGGTTTCCTCGCTGTAAATGGAGATAACAACACCAGCCCCTTGCAAGGCTGTTGCTGGAATTTAGGGCCACGAATGGCTGCAGAGTGTGTATCTAGCACCGTGCGTGGCTTCAAGAGTCCTCCCGAAACCTCAGCCCAAGGGGCAGGGGCTGGTTGAGTTAGAACTGGCTTCAAATCCTTCAAAAGTGACCTTGAGCAAGAGCCTCTGTTTCTCTAAGTCTCACTTCTTGGGCTGTAAAAATCTCTAACATCTACATGAGACGCTGTGGGGATTACCTGAGACAGCCACATGTCGTAGGGACTTGTGACAAGGAGACCCTGTCCCCAGCTGTCCTGACTGTTGCTTCTCCATCCCCCAGCCCAGCTGCCCCCTGGGAGAGACAGCACAACGTGGGCGGTGAGGGGCGTGGACTCTGGAGCTGCCTGATTCTGTCCTAGCTCTGCCAGCTGTGTGAACTTGGGTAAGTGTATTTGCCTCTCTGTGTCTCATTTTCCTAATCTTTAAAATGAGGATGGTAATGGCACCTTGAGAAGCATAAGTGAGCCATTAGATTTTAACTGCTGAGTACAGTGTCTGGCACACCATAAGTGCTGTTATCACTGTCGCTATTCTGGGCCACCACCAAGCCCTTCTCTTAGGGAGCAGCAGAGACTTTATCCCATAGCAATAGACCCATCTTTCCTAGATGTCGCTGGGAAAGACACCAATCCCCAGAGACACCAGTCCCTTAGACACTCCCATCCAATGGGGTCTTGATCTACTGGCCTGAGATGTTGTCCAGCCTGGAGCTCCCTCCTGCCCCCCAAGACCTGAGGCCTGCCCCAGGTTTCGCAGTCAATTTTAAGTGACCCTGAGCCTGGGGAGCCACAGAACTGCCGACGTTTCAGGCGACCAGAGGCCACTGTCCTAGGCCAGGAGAGGAGGCCTGGATTCGAGCTGGGCTGGCTTCCTGGGGCTAACAGTGCTCTGGTCTCTTCTCTGCTGGGCTCAGCTCCCTTGGCCCCTGGGTGCTGGGCTGAACAGCTGACCCCTTCTGGGTCCCTGGCCTAGTCTGGCCCTTAGGGTGTGGCTCTGTGGCTGGCCCCCTGGGTCTTCGACCCTATGGCCAAGGGACAACTGCCCATACCCACCTGCCTTGATGGTAACAAATGCTAGGGGTGAACCTCGGGGGCTGGCTGGGGCAGCTGAGTCACGCTCGGCCCTGTGCCCTCTGCCCACGGCTCCTCTGCTGTGTCACCGTCTGGGCATGCGCCAAACACTTCACTGCCTACAAAGACCCTTATTCAGTCTTGGGTGCTGCTGGCCCTTTAAGATTTGAATCTTTATCCACATTTCACAGATGAAGAAGCAGGTCCAAGGTCCCTGGGCAGTCAGTGGTCGTGGGACCTGAACCTGGTCTCTTGCCTGTGAGCCTGGACTTTTTCCCTAAAGTATTACAGATGGTTGTTCCCATTGGAGGTAGTGAGTTCCCCGTCCCTGTAAGTGTTCAAGTTTGGCAGGAAAGATGTAGAGGGAACTTGGATGTCATGTGAGGCTCCTGTTTACGGCTCCTTCCAGCCCTTAGCTTTTCTGGCCCTGGGGGAGACGGACACCAAATCCCACGTTCTCCCCGGTTGTTAAGTCCCTAAGCAGCACGTGGGTCATTCTAGCAGCATCAGTAATGTGTGTGGGACATCCACCTCCTGGATCTTCAGGGCCCCTGCTCTCCCTTACCCAACAGGCCCGAACCTGCCTAAGGGTGTTCCCAACCCCATGGCACTGCCCCTTCCCACACACCTGCACGCGACATCGCCTCCCTAGAGCCGTGGGCAGTGGGCAGGGTCAGAAGGAAGCCTTGTGCGCGGTTTCCTCAAAGCTGTACTTATCCTACACCGTGGCTGCGCCCGCCACACCCTCTGTGGGCTCTGCCACCTATGCGAACAGCACGGGGGCCAGAGGGGCAGGGTCTGTTCTCTGGCTCCTCCCCTGCCGGGGTCCTGGTGCCTGAGCTGGGGGAGGGGGAGCGGGGACTGAGCGCGGCATCCTTTGCCAGCCATGGTGGGGAGGACAGCCAGTGCCTCTCCTTGGAGACCCTGCCATGGACGTCAGCATGCCGGGAGGGGGAACCTGGGTCAGAAGCCGCAGGAACTGCCATCCAGGGAGGACGGTGGTGTTTGCAGCCCACGTGAGTGTAGGAGCGAGCGAGGTCTGGCCCGGCCCCTGTTCCCGGGCTGTAAGGCCTTGGGCCTGTGGCCCAGCCTCTCTGAGCCTCCGTTTGCACCTCCACACAGTGGCTGGTGCTAACCCTCCGTGTCGTGGAGGTGCCAGGGCAGGGGGCGGGGGTGCCGTGCAGGACGATGGAGGCAGCACAGGGAAAGGAGTGCACAGAGCTGCGTTTGGATCCAGTTTTACCAGCTCTGTGTTCCCGGATAAGTGGCTTCTCCTCTCTGAGCCTCAGTTTCCTTGGCTATAAAATGGGAATGATGGTACCTCATAGGGTGGCCGTGGAGTTATGGGAGGCCAGGTGCATATCACGTGGTTTGTGCTTACACATGTTTCCCTTCCCTGCCCCAGCTCTCTTGAGAGTCTCTGCAGGTTAGTCCTTGGCCACACCCCACCCCCAGGTTCCTAGACCCCAGGACCTCGCTGGCCACAGACAGGTGCCATTTCCCCCTCCTTGCTTGCAAAGCCCATGGGAACCCAGGTAGAAGCTTGGCATTTGCAGCAGTGGGAAGGTGACCCGCCTTCCCTGGCAAATCTCCTGCCTGGGCCTCCCTTAGCCCTGAGCCACAGCAGTGGGCCTTCTCGGGCCTTGGAGGTGTAACTTTGCCTTTATGAGGAGAGAAAACCCAAGGTTTGCTGCTCACAGATTCAGATGGGATCTCAGACATCCTCTAACCCAGCGTACATTAAAACTATCTGTGGCCCCAGTGATTTAGGAAAGGCAGGCTTCTGCACTGCAGGACTTCTCAGAGCCTTTACCAGGCAGATGTGTATTGGAGGGGGAATCAGCCTGGTGTTTCGGATCCTGTCCCTGCTCTCAGGCTATGCACAGTCTCGGAAGCCCCACTGTGACCAGGCAGCTGGCAGAGGGGTGTGTGCCCCTGATCCAGTTAGAGGCTGGGAAGTGGGGGATGGCTTGGCGCCTGAACTCTCCCCGCTCCCCACTCCCCACATACCCCGAGTGGCACTTTTGGGTTGGATCCACAGTGTCAGGAATCGGGTCCTACTGGGGAGAGGCTTGGAGCCGGCCTGACCTGGGTTAGAGCCCCAGCTCTGTCTCACTCATTCATTTATTCAACGAGCAGTCATTGGGCCTCTCCTGTGGACCAGGCACTGTGCTAGGCACGGGGGATCAGCGGCGAGCAAGACACACGAGACGGCACAAACGCTGAGAAATGCATAACGAGCGAGCAGATGGCAGGGTTGTTTCGGTGTGAGGTGCCGCAGAGATAACAAAACAAGCACGGAAGGGAGTGGCACATACAGAAGGCAATTGCGATTGGGTAGCCAGGGGGCGCTTCTCAGAGGAGGGGACATTTGAGCTAAGGCCTGGCAGGAGCCAATCAGGAGAAGGGTCCTGGAGAGAATGTCCTTCCTGTGTTGAGGGAAGAGCACGTGCAAAGGTCCTGAGGTGTGTCTGAGGATATAGGAGGGGTCCGTCTGGAGTTGGCGAATGCAGGGAAGGGGCAGGGTGGTATCGGAGGTGAAGCGCGGTCATTAGCTTGGCAGTTGCGCTGCTCCCTGAGCCTCAGCTTTCTGACTTATAAGCCTTGTCATTTTTGTCCCCCACCCACCGCCCCGGTCAGGGCGTTGTAGGTGTGAAGTAAGCAAGTGGCTTGTCAACCTCTTTGGCTTTTGGCTCTGCTCAGCGGTGAGCTGTTAGAGCATCTTTATTGCTGTAAGTGGGCGGGATGTTTTAGACACCGTGGCTGGGACGGGGAAGGCTGTCTCTATTTCTCCGGGCGTTGCTGTAGTGAGTGTGTGTAAAAGGCCAGGGTGCCCCATCTCTACCCGCCTCCCTGGGTCCCCTGAACCGCAGCCCCCTGCCAGCTTCTTTCAAGCGCAGGGGCCTTTGATCCAACAGAGGCCGCCTTCTCTAGCCCGGCAGGCCCACGATCCTTTCCGGGCGAAGGTTCCACCAGAGAACAGCAACTGCTTTCTTTGCTTTCTTTTCCTCTTCCTCCGGGGGGCCAAAAATAGTGCCTGAATGGGACCCGGCTCTGGGCCGGCAGTGAGACAATAGCCGCCTCCTGACAGAAGCTGCCTCCTGGCTCTGGTCCACCGCAGGGGTGCGGGCATTGCAGAGGCTCCCCCCGCCAGGCCCCTGCAGCCTTTCCCATGGCCTCTGCCAGAAACCGCCCCAAAGCCCCCCCAATGCCTTGGCGCGTGATGGTCAGTGGGTTCCCCACTTGCGTCTGGGCAAATGCTCATAGCTGGTTGACTGAGACCGGGGGACCCCTTGCACCCCTGAGCAGTCCGGCCCTGTCTGCTGGCCCCGCCGTTGTTCTGCAGCCAAAGCCCTCGCCGGGGGCCCTGACCCCTGGCTCTCTTTGGTGCCCCGTCTGGCACACGGAGGACACCTCATGGTTTTGATGTCCTTTTCCCTTTGACTCAGTGGGTATGGAGGACTTTAGAAATCAAAGAAATGTGTCCTCTTGGGAGGAAGTGAGCTCCCTGTCACTGGAGGTAGTCAAATAAAGTCTGGCTGTGCCCTGGGAAACTGGGGGAAGTGGAGGATTAGTCAAGCATCACATGGACATTTGGTCTTGATGCCTTCACATCTCAGAGGAGATCTCTGTTTGAATTTCATACCCGTCCCTTTCCAGCTAAGTGGCTTTGAGCAAGGCACATCACCTCCCTGAGCCTCTGTTTGCCCGTCTGTAAGCTGGTTCCACAGGGCTAACTTTGCAGAGTGGTGGCCGTGGATGTCTAAGATGCCCACTGTGGTGCCTGGCACATGGGAGGGGTTTCAGAGGTTGGTCTCTGTTTCCCTCCCTCCCCAGACTGGAAGAGAGAGTCTGAGCCACTTCTGGCCCTCCGGGGAGCTCTGGAAGAAACTGTCAGGAGGAACCTCCAGCCCCAGGGCTAACTCAGAAGGGGGATTCTTGATGGACTATGGCAATCTGGGAAGGCTTTCTGGAGGAGGGGGACCCTAAAGAATTTTTAGGGAAGTATGATGCACACGTCGTGCTCACGACAGCCAGTGGTGGGAGTTAAGGGGTGTCCAGCCCGGCATGAGGCCAAGGCCACAGTCTGACAGCATCAGAATCAAATCCAGCTGCCAAGAGGCATAACTGGGTCACAGGGTGGCTCCTACTGGGTTCTGAAGAGATGTGGTTTTAAAGTCAATGTTGACAAACTTGCAAATTTCATGTAAAAATCTATGGTTCTGCTTCTCTTGGGAAATTGGAAGCTCTGGCTCTATGAGGTCCCTTCAAGACAGGCAGGTGTCCCCACTGCGCCCATAACCTGCTGTCC